CTTCTGTATGTCTGTCTGACAAGCACATGTGCCCTTGGCAGTAAAAATAAACATAAGAGAATTAACTTTCCTTACTCTTTGTCACGTTGATAAAAAATTGCTCTAGAAGCTTCCTAAGATAGCAGCTAAGAGCTGAGTTGTGATTCTCCCAATGTTATATAACAGTTAACAACTGGCATCAGACTTGAGATGGACTACAGCAGTGACACTATTAATTGTGACTCTGGGAAAATTTTCTAACTTCTCTGATTCTGTTTCCTCATCTTTAAAGTGTGGGTAAAGATAGTAGGTATCTCATATAGGGAGCAATGCATATAAAACTCTTAGTCCAAACCTGGCTCATTTTTAAATACTGGACAAATGCAGTTGCTTCCCAGACCCTCAAAGCCCAATATGAACCCAGAGATAGCAAGGGAGTCTGACAACCCCACCCCTCCTCATTCTCGCCTGGTTACTGGTCATTGCCCCCTTTGGAAACAGCTTTGGGATGTTAGGAAGGCCCCTGGCCCTCCCGCAGGGAGTGATGGGATATCAACCTGACAGGTGAAAATCCCTAGAGATGACCCCAAAGAGGAACAGAAAGAAGGAGTTTTCAGAGAAGGCACTCTCTGGCGTATCGAACCAAAAGACAGTCTGTTTATAGCTACTGCTTAGCTAGGGTGTTCTGGGTGAAGATGTGAAAGGAAAGGAGATTCCTGACAGGCAATTGCAGAGTCAGCAGGTTTTGCTTAATTAGAATGGTGTTATATAATATTGTAAGCATTGTAACTGTAAGCAACATGCCACTATGTGAAGCATGACTGCCACTGTGGGGCTGGAAGGAGGGGTGGTGTCTGTTATGGTACCTAAGAATCCTTACTCAAGGCTAGGAGGTGACGAGGAGCAATGAGATTATGCACCTAGGACCACAGGTAGCCTGACAAGCTGAGCTGCAGAACTGAAGATGCGGGAAGCTGAATTGGGGTTTAACTCCTAAGACGCAGGCTGGCAGAATGTGCTTTCATTGTATGGCTCTAAGAATTAACCTATGAGCCGACAAGCCTCCTGTGAGACCTTTCACCCAAGACTCCACATACAGAGGCCTTTGCTCCCGCACCAGAGTCAGACAGCTGTGACTGGACATGATTCCCTGCTCACAGACCACCTCCCAAAGGCCAGCCTGAAATTCCCTTCCTTTGCTACAAGAGTCCAACCCACCAGGAGGGGCAGAAACTCACCAGTAAAGGTAGTAGAAGAAGGAGAGGAGATAGAAGGCCAGCTTACACCAGGCCTCCTTCTGACAGTAACTCAAGGTATCTGCGTTCATGACCACTGGTGGGTCATAGGCTAGTTCTGAACTATCTGCTGGGCAGTGGAAATACCTGCAGGGAAAAAGGACACAGCATCATTGGCCCTGAGGCCGTGGGACTTCCAGCCACCTGGGCCCAGCCTCTGGATGCAGGACTTCACTCAAGCAATCCCTGTCAAGCAGTGGTCTCCTTCTGCCCAAGTCCCAGTTCAAGCATTGCTCAAGAGTGACCAGCCACCAACTTCTAGCAGGCAGAGAGTCCCCTGATGCCAGGTCCACTGGCATCATGGTGATTTTGCACATATACAAAGCTCCTGTGGAAAAGTATGTCACCTGGGCTACCTGGGCAGTACCAGCAAGAGCCTCTCTGCAGTATGGGTTTGGATGTGGCAGATGACACAGTACACAGCCACTCCACTCTCCACTGTACCCACAATCTACCTTTGAAAGGAAGTGGTGTAATAGTTGAGGTGCTGAACTCCAACCTGGTTGACCATGGTTCAAGTTTCAGACCCGACAGCTTGAAACTCACACCAGACACATGTGCATGCATGCCCAAAATTCCGAGAGGAGAATGGAGGAGAAGGGATTATGGCATGGCCAACCTCCCTGGAAGCTGATTTCTTACTTTCTCTCTCTCTGTCTCTTGTACCCTAAAGCAAAAATCTCTCTCTAAAAAAAATAGTAAGTAATTACTGCAGTTTAAGAATTGTCTTCTACCCGGACCCTCATTTAAAATCCTGAATACTCTGGGAAGGACAGCATATTCCCATTTGAATGTGAGGGATTTTTCAGGTACTTTTCTTCTTGATAGAAGGATCTAGAACAGCAAAAACAACATTGGCCATCTGTGGGAAAAAAAGTAGCCCAGAGAGAAGTGGGTAAGTGAAAGAACAGTGAGGGGAGGGGAGGGAGGAGAGAGGCTGATGAAGCACACTTGCTCAACTCCAGCCCTAAGAACCAGTGCACCACTCAAAGATATATAAATAACCCATCTTTCCACCAACTGATAGCTCCTTACACAAAGGACCATGAGATACATTCCTTTTCTAGGGAGAAGAGTCAGTCCCAAAGCAGCAACTGAAGAGGCAACACCGTGGACTGCCACATAAGTGCTGAGTAACTCCAGGCTGCTGACCTAAACTTTGTGTGTCTCTGTGTGTTGCAGATTCTTTTTTTTTTTTGGAGAGGTTTTCGCTATAGGGCGTGTGCACTCGCCAGACAGACAGAGAGAGACATAGAGACAGAAAGCGAGAAATCTCTCCCCAGGGGGGATGGTCATGCCGCAATCCCTTCTCCTCCATTCTCCTCTCGGGATCTTGGGCACGCATGCACACGTGCCCGGCGTGAGTTTTAAGCCACCGGGTCCGGGACGTGAACCATGGTTGACTACGTGGGAGTCCAGCGACAGAGCCATTACACTAACTGCTGGTTCCCTGTTGCGGATTCTTGACAAAGCATGGCAAGTTCCCAATGGAGACTCCATACTTTTCTACACTGTAATTCTCCTAATAATGTCTCTCTGAATTCAGATTTTAGAAAGTATGACTTCCCTATGTAAGCAAATCATTTTCCTTCCTTACTAAGCCCATGATTTCTTCTGTCCTCCTCATGGTCAGTGGCCTTTACCTTCCGGTCACCCAGCACAGAGGCGCTCTCTCCCTCACCCCCTACACTCAGGCCAGGCCTGTCCAGTTTACCTCCATGGGTTCTCTCATTCTCAACACTCTGACTTCCACTACTGCTCAAGTCTCCCTCATCTCTTCAACCTGGAATTTCAACCCTCTCCCTAAATGAATTTCATCTTCAATACTTCTTCCTCCAACATAACCTTTACACTGCCACCACAGTCACCTTCCTACAAATCAGATCAGGAAATGCTGCTTGTTCCTCCAAAGCTTCTGATAGCTTTCCACTCCCTACAGAATAAAATAACTCCACCTTTCTCATGAAACTGTTTCAGACATGACATAGCAGATTCCCAGCTGTCTGTCAACTTGTCTCTTCTAACTTCCCTCCAAGAGCCCTATACTCAGCACTGAACATCTGCTGCTTCCCAGACACATTTAGTGCTCTCTGAGCCCTGAGCCTTCAGCTACGTTAGTCCTTCAACATGGAACGTGCTCCTCTAGATTGCTCAATTCACTCTTTAGTCTCATTTTTTAAGAGAGATTTTTGCTATAAGGAATGTGCGCTCACCAGAGAGAGAGAGAGAGAAAGAAGTCACCCCCACGGGGATGGCCAAGCTACAATCCCTTCTCCTCCATTTTCCTCCTGGGATTTGGGGCACACAAACACACATGTACCTGGTGTGAGTTTTAAGCTGCCTGGTCCAGGACTCAAACCACAGTCGATTACTTAGGAGTCCAGCAGTGTAACCATTATGCCATCTGCTGGGCTCATCTTCAGTATAATTTAAGTGCTTCTTTCTCTAGGCTCTTGCAAATATTTCTCATATGTCTATTAATATATTTCTTGGGCCAACCCTACAGCTGGCAAGAACCGCGTCCCTTGTGGCCAATAGTGATCTGAATCCTGGCCCTAATGGCTTAAAAACCATGCTGGGCATTTGTGTGTGTGCATGCCCAAAATCCCAACAGGGTGAAGATATGGAGGAGAAGGGATTGAGCATGATCATGCTCCATTAGGGGTTGCTTTCTCCCTCCCTCTCTTTCTCTCCATTCTCTCTGGTAAGTACACATATCCTCTGGCTATTTAAATAAATAAATAAACATAAATAAATAAATGTAAAGACTTTCCAAAAGAAGCCAAAATTTTAAAATATGTATATATTTCCCTCGATTATTAAGATGAATATAATTGAGGGTAAGGATTATATTTTACATTTATCTTGGAATTCCCCACAATGCCTAGCACATGGTATGTGTGCTGTATGTTTGCTAAATGAAGAAGTGAATGATCAAATGAGACTAAATACAGGCTATATTTTATGGTAAATGACAATGATAAAACATTTTGAAGGGATCAGCAGTTAGCATAATGGCTATGTCGCTGGACTCCCCTGTAGTCGACCTCAGTTTGCGTCCCAGACCCGGTGGCTTAAAACTCACGCCAGACGCATGTGCGTGCGTGCCCAAGATCCCAAGAGGAGAATGGAGAAGGGATCGCGGCATGGCCATCCCCCCGGGGGGTGATTGCTCGCTTTCTGTCTCTCTGTCTCTCTCTGTCTGTCTGGCGAGCACATGCCCCCTATAGCAAAAACCTCTCAAAAAACAAACAAACAAACAAAAAACATTTTGAGGGGCCACAGTTCTGAGAACAAGGGGTCAAAGGTAGGCAATTTATCTGCACAATTACATTCTCCACTACTTTGGCATTCTCCCGCCCCTGCCTCCTGTATCCATATGGTGACTAAATTTTATGAAAAGCCCAAAACACATGATCCAACACATGGTCTGAGCAGGGAATAGAATATCTGAAATCAGAACTGTCCCAGAAAAATCCGTCCCATCTGGTAGGTGGGGTTTTTTTTTTTTTTTTTGGTTAAGATATAATTTACATACCATAAAATTCACTCTTTTAAAGTATACAATTCAGTGGTTTTTAGTATATTCATAGAGTTGTGCAATCACCACTATCTAATTTCAGAACATTTTCATCATCCTAAAAGAAAGCCCTATTCCCATTAGCATCATTCCCCACATAAACTCCCTCCCAGCCCTTGGCAACTACTAACTTACTTCCTGTCCCTACAGATTTTTCTATTATGAACATTTCACATCCATGCAATCATACAACGCTGTGACCTTTTATGCCTGGTTTTGTTCACTTATATTTTCTCTTGTGTTCACCCATGTTGTTTGCATGTATCAGTACTCTCTTTCTTTTTATTGCCAAATAATGTTCCATTGTATGGATACACGATATTTTATTTATACATCCATCAGTTGATGGGCATTTGGGATGCTTCCACCTTAGGGTTATTGTGAATAATGTGGCTGCTTTTAACACTGACCAACAAGAGTTAGGTTATAGTTAAAGGAGCAGAGAAGGGCCTCCCCTTGTCAGATTTGGGGGCTTTGGAGAGAAGGTCCGCAACAAGATGGGAGGAGAGGAAGATATGAGGTGGCGGATCTACTTGAGGGAGATAGTCACTAGACCACAGGCTTCTAAGGCACAAAGGAGGAAGGACCATCCAGTCCAGGTAGACTTACCTCCAGAAGTGATAGAAAAGTAGAGGGACATTCAGCCCCAGGGTGAGCCACTCTTGAGCACACAGGAACATGATGCAGAAGAGGCTGTGAATGGAGTATTCTGGCAGCACAAGCTGAAGAGAGAGCAGAGACACAGGCCTGGGTTAGAGGAAGAGCCTCTCCACTTCTATGGCAGCCAATATCTGCCTGGACGCTGCTTCTCACATATGGTGACACCAAGGACCCCCTCGGCAGTAGCATAGTGTCATCCCGTTCCCCACATACACTCCCTCTAGGGCCCCAATACTGACACCCATTCCTGGTAATGCTCTCCTCATTATGATTTCAGAGTGCTTTTATACCCAATCCCAGACTGGCACAGGTCTTACTAGAATACTGTACTTTTTCCTGGGAATCACCACTTTGAGGTCTGACCTAAGACAAGAGTTCTAGGAGAAATACTGATAGGGTTTCCAGTGATTCTATAACTGTTCTGCTCTTGTTTTTCTAATACCTGTGTGTCCTCCTATAGTAACTCACAAACCTAGAGCAAAGATGGACATTTATTTCAAATTTAGGAAGACTAGGACAATATTGAGAAATAGCATTTTGCTTTGCAGTGTGTGAATCAAGAGAAAAAACAAGCAATGATAGAAAGAGGAATAAGGTAGCCTCTGAGGGAAGAGGGAAAGGAAAAGGGGAAGAAAGCAGTTCAGACCAAGAAGAGCCAAATGATGGGAGGTGACCAGCAAGAAGACTTAGTTCCCCCACCCCAAGCCAGCCACTCAGCAGAATTGGGCCAAAAGAGCTTAAAATGGTTGAGAACTCCCTCCCAGAAATGTTAACAGAAATCAAAGCTGGGAACCAGCAGTTAGCGTAATGGCTATGTCACTGGACTTCCATGTAGTCGACCGCGGTTCACGTCCTGGACCCGGTGGCTTAAAACTCACACTGGGCGCGTGTGCATGTGTGCCCAAGATCCCGAGAGGAGAATGGAGGAGAAGGGATTGTGGCGTGACCATCCCCCCTGGGGAGTGATTTCTCGCTTTCTGTCTCTATGTCTCTCTCTGTCTGGCGAGCGCACGCGCCCTATAGCAAAAACCTCTCCAAAAAAAAAAAAAAAATAGAAATCAAAGCTGTGGCCTAAGTCTGGTGTCATAGCCAGTACCATTTCAGTGCTGGAAGCCACATAGCCAAGGCTTAGATCCTTGAATTGGCCTGAAAAATGCAGCAGGCACATGTGAGAGTATCCAAGATCTTGACAAGCTGGAGGGCTGAGGAAGGAAGATAGCAGCATAATGAGAACCTGTCGCAGGTGTATCTCTCTCTCTCTCTCTTGTGTGTGTGTACACACTATCATGAATGAAATAAATAATAAAGCTTTAAAAAAAGAAATCAGAGCTGTAATCTAAACAGCAACTGTAAGAGAGAAATTTGATCTGTAGGCTACTAATAAGGAATGCTGTAGATAGTGAAGCAGATGCACCACCTTACATAGTTATACAGGAAGACATATATTTTATGTGTGTGTGTATGTGTGTGTGTGTGTGTATTTATCCAGATATAGAGAGCTAAATGTATATTGTGTGCATTATGTATGTGTGTATGTGTATACATGATTTATATGTGTGTATGTATGTATATATATATATATATATATATATATATGAGATATGACATTTAGAGTCAGCCCTCCATGGATTCCAAATCCATTGATTCAACCAACTATGATGGAAAATATTCTTTAAAAAATTAAATTCCACAAGGCAAAACTGAAACTTGCCACATGCCAAGTACCATGATGAGTCCACACAAATGAAGTGCTGAGCAGGCATTGCACTGGTGTGTAAGCTATCTAGAGAGAATTTAAAATATATGGGAGGGTGTCACCAGCTCACCTGAAGACATTAGTTCATTTTAATATTCATTTGTGTATGTTCAGGGACTTGAACATACACAAATTTGGTATCTGGTTGGAGGAGTTCTAGAACTAATCCCCTGGGGATTCCAAGGGACAACTGTATGTACATTGGCTCGTGTTGTTCAAACCATCATAAATGCATAGGTCATCACATCAAAATCCCCCCAACCACCCTTCAAAGTCCAGCTCAAATGCCACTTTCTAATGGAAGCTCTGCCTACCTTGTACCTCTGGGCCCCACAGCTGCTTTCTAGCCCTGTCCTAGGAGGATTTTCCATAATCTACCCATTATGAAGTCTTTAACCTATCCCCACCTCCCAACACACATGGATATATTATAGAGTCATCAGAAAAGTCACGATGTATCTTTCTATGAAAAGTCACGATGTATTTTTCTATGAAAATACATCGTGACTTTTCTAATGACCCAATACTATAGTATCTTGTAACCCTCCAGCGTCTACTGTTTTCTCATCTCCATCTGCAAAGTGTTTGCATGGTGCCTGACATTTAGTAGAGACTTAACAAATATATATTTTTTTTCCTTTTTTTGGAGAGGTTTTTTGCCATAGGGTGCGTGCGCTCGCCAGACAGACAGAGAGACAAAAAGTGAGAAATCACCCCCTAGGGGGGATGGCCACGCTGCAATCCCTTCTCCTCCATTCTCCTCTCGGGATCTTGGGCACACACGCACACGCACCCGGCGTGAGTTTTAAGCCACTGGGTCCGGGACTCGAACCACAGTTGACTACGTGGGAGTCCAGCAACATAGCCATTACACTAACTGCTGGTCCTGAGACTTAACAAATATTTGAGCACATGAATAAAAGTGACCAAGTGTGTACATCTGCAGCATGTCTGACTGGCATTAGGGACACAACCTATGGTCACCAAACACAGTTTCTCTGGGGAGGGAACAAACTGACCCACTTGGGTATGGAACATGGCTTTGATCTCTTACTTTAGTCAGATGAGCTAACCACTCCAGATGGCAGATACAGAGGGAGAAACACATATGCACACATTAAAAATACATGCACAGACACACATGTAAGAAATGCATTTTGTAACCAGGGTCATCTTTATTCTCCAAGTCCACCGTATAATGAATTGCAATAACCTACACCTTAGACCTCTTAGACAGTAACCCAGAGATCAAAGCAAAAGGATCATTATCCCAGAGGTGGTACCCCTCAGTAGGTGGGCCAGGCACAGCCAGCCCCTATGAACCTCCACCACCTGGTGGGCAGGGGTCTGTCCCTATCATTTCTCCTTATAAGACCTCAGAGCTTTGTTTACCAGCCCCATCTGTACCCTGCCAATGCACCACCCTGCCTCTCCTGTTCAGAGAGAAAGCCCATGTCTCAGAGCTGGGTGTGCCAGCCCCAGGAGACAGTGGCTGTGAGTTCTGCTATGCACATCTCTACATTTTTTAATCATCAGTTTCAGCCACTTAGGCTGAGGTAATTAACATGTTTAGAGACAGCCACTCTTGAGCCTGAATCATTCATTAGAGCTCCATCCTCGTCTTCAACTCCAGTGACAAATCCCTGGCTGATTACAGTGTGAATTTCAGGTTCCACCATTAATCACTACCACTTCTTCTCTCCTCGGAGCTTGATTTATAGTGGAAGTTGCAACCTTCCAAACAGGGAGGATTCATCACTGTCCCTATGCTAAGGAAAACTCTTAATGTAGGCCAGCTGGTCCCAGAGGTGTCCTGCCTCCTGGGTGTGGGGAAAAACTAAAGAATTCATCTGCCATCTGGGTGTCCTCTCTCAATTGCCTCTGACTAACTAAAACACTAAACAGGACCCTTACAAGTGGGAGAGGCTCCTTTAATTAATCCAAGGAGACTTTTAGGGGTAATAATGCCTTTTTATTTCTTTTTTTTTTTAAATAAACTTTGTTTTAAGTTTTTTTAGAGAGATTTTGCTCCATGTGTTTGCTGGAGAGACAGAGAAAGAGAGACATAAAGCGAGAAATTGCACCTGGCGGGGAGATGGCCACGCCACAATCCCATCTCCTCCATTCTCCTCTCAGAATTTTGGACATGCACATGGCATGTTTTAAGCCCTTGGGTCCAGGACTTGAACCATAGTCGACTATGTAGGAGTCCAGCAACATAACCATTATGCCATCTGTTGATCCTGACAATGCCCTTTTCACATACACATTGTCCCTTGCTACTTCCCCAGGTGCTTCTTGTCAAGATGATATGGAAGGTTTAGGGAACCCATTGCTTCTAGAGAGGGTAGAAATCTGTCAGGCCGTTTGCACACAGCCTGCACATGGCTTTACTGTCACTCACCACCGACTTGCAGTACTCAGCCTTGTGAGACTGCATTTCCCAGACTGCAGTTGTTGGGTGGGGCCAATGGGCTGTGAGCAGAAATGTGAAGAGAAGGCTGGAGCGATCTATAGCCAGGATAAAATGCCCCAGAGTCTTTTTCTTTCCCACTGACATAGCAAAAAACATTTAGGGCAGGGGGGTAAGTAGTTCCATTCTGTGTAGAGAAGCGACTTATGATGAACTTACAGCATGGACAAAAAAGAAACTTGTCATTTTAAGCTAAGAGTTGAGCACTGTTTCTTTTCCTTTTTATTTTTTTTAATAGTTTTTGCCCTAGGGCATGTGCACTTGACAGAGAGAGAGAAAGTGAAAAATCACTCTCCTGGGGATGGCCATACTGTAATCCCTCACTTCCACTCCGCTCTCAGGATTTGGGGCACACACTTACACACACCTGGTATGATTTTGAAGCCACAGAATCCGGGACTCGAACCATGGTCAGCCATGTGGGAGTCCAGCACCTTAACCACTATGTCACATGCTGGCCCCTGAGCATTGTTTCTTTTTTTTCTCTTTTTTTTTTGGGGGGGGGAGAGATTTTTGCTGTAGGACATGTGTGCTTGCCAGAGAGAGACAGAAAGACAGAAAGCAAGAACTCACCACCCCTACCCCACTTCACTCCCCACCCCGGGGAGATGGCCAGGCTGCAATCCCTTCTCTTCCATTCTCCTCTAGGGATTTTGGGCACACATACATATGCACCCGGCATGAGCTTTTTAAGCCACTAGGCCCAGGACTCAAACCACAGTCAACTACATGGAAGTCCAGCCATGTAACCATTACACAATCTGCTAGTCCCTTAAGCATTGTTTCTTACCATTGCATAACTTAACCTATCTTGTCTGATACTGTCATTAAAC